TGAATAGCTCTCTTATACAAGGTAAATTCTTAACTGATTCGTAAGCGGAGACATAATCGCTATATGCAATATGTTTTTTGTTTTTTTCAAAGGTCTTTGGAATCACGTGTTTCTATTCTCCAATCTCTCGCTGTTTGTATTTCTGCCTTTCGCGTACTTATTCACCGAGTCCACAGGGTTTGTGGGACATAAGAAGGGCATAATTGCACGCGTCTATGAAACATTTACAGTATTCAGTCTTTTAGCAACGGTTGTCTTGGGCATAACCTATGTGCTGTCCGCCGTCATGGATCCGGAAAGAATTGGATTTTTGTCACTGCTAAGTACGTACTGTAGTGAGGTACTTCACTTATTTACTTTTATTGCCCAACAGCAGCTGCAAAAACATGGATATCCAGTGTAGCGGAAAACACACCGGAAATCCATTTCCGTAGTGCATTGCATTTGTATTATTTGTGTTCTGTTAATCAATTGTTTCAGTTCAGTTTCAATAATATTCACTGCTGCTTGTTGCATTTTTATTTCCAGATTTGGGCAGTGTACATCTACCATTTCTATACTCCTGCGTATCATTTCTGGGTGTGCTTCTACTTCTCGGTGAGTAAAAAATAGTGCATTGATTTACATACATTTGCATGTCGGTATACATATGTAAATACAAAATTTCGAGTTCTAATGATTAAACATTACACAATATTGGAATCAATTTAAAGTGCTTGGGCTTATTTTTGTGTCCATATTTAGAATTCTGTTCTGAGTTTCTCTTGAAATGCAGCTATGTAGTCAATTTCTTTAGAATTATTCTTCTTTGCGAATTTAATGCTCGTCTCATAATTTTTTTCATCGCCCAATCGCAGATAGGCCGCTGCACGATATAACCAGGATCGTAAGTTCTTTTCGTCTAATTTGTTAATCACATAGTCAGCATCGATTATTGCGCGTTTAGCATTGCGAAGCCTTTGACGATGTACATATGTAAACGCGTTTATAATAAATTATTGTTCGCCTTTTTATCTATGTATGTATACTTACTTGAGATAAGAGAGCGCTCGGTTATTGTAAAGTATCGGGCTATCCTTTACGTGTTCTATGGCTTTTGTGTACATTTGTATGGCCTTTTCGTAGTTCTGCTTGCGGAAAGCTTCGTTGCCTAGACTATGAAGGGTAAAGTCTTTGAATACATTAATCTTCTCGTATTATGCTTTGACTAACTAACCTGCGAAAGTTTTGAGCTATACGCTCGCGCTCTTGCCGCACCTTAGCGCGTTCGGCGGCGTCTTGCTCCATCTGCTGCATGAAGGTATATTTGTCCATTTGCTGCGGACCGCCCTGATCATTAGGGTCTTTCTCATGGGCCGCCTTCCGATTGAGCACCGTGCGATCCTGACGCACGCTGACAATAAATTTATCCTCATTGATCTCAGACTTACTAACGGAAAAAAGTGAAAATGCGTGTTGGCGCTTTATTTTTTTCTTATTGTTGTTGTAGCGGTAGTTCACTATGACTATGAGCATTATCTTTTGTCGTTACTTGCTGTAATTGACTTACGTATCTGGCTTTTTTGTATTTTCTGACTCCGATTTATTAGCGCTGGCCATATCCTCAAGTAGTTTCATTACCTGATTGACTTTTGACTCAAAGTCCAGGAAGTCTTCGTCCATATCTCCTTGAGACATAGCACTTTATAATCGTTTTTTAATAAAAGTAATATACGTTTCTGTTTTGCTGGTATAGTTTGCGTTGCGAGGTATAGAAATATATTGTCCTTTATGTTCTCTTTCTTTATTGTTTTGTTCACTTTGACAAAGTAGGTTTTTATGTACCCCCGTTTCCAAGGCAAAGGTTTCGACAGTAAATCAAGAAAGTTTTTTATTTATAGATTTACAGTGAGCAAGCAGACTGAATCACTTCTCAGTGAAAAATAGAAATGTTCAGTGATGCATACATACATACTTACTTAAATACTTTTGTTTCAAGAAACTAAATACCCAATTTAGATATGCTAAATACTCAATACTAGCAAAATTACATTTGAACATTATTTTATACTTACGAACTAATTTGTATAAACTATTTAGAGAATCAGTCTTTGTTTTGGGTTCTAAGATACTTGGTTTTTTACTAAATTAGTTTGTTAATTGAATCTATTTCATATATTTCCGTAGTTTGTACACCTCTTGGTTTCGTTCGTCTCTTTGGCGTGATGGGACAAGTGCTGGTGAAGCCGCATCTGCTTCGCGACGTCAATGAGGAATACCAAGTATACTACATGGAAATCGCCAGTGTGAAACGAAAATTAGCGAACATTGAACTGCTGAATGTCAGCATCAGTGGCAACGGTAGCAGCAGCTTGCGTTCCAGTTTGACGCGCAGCTACACAAATGGTGGTGCCGGCGGCTATTACAAACATACATCGTTGGAGCACCTGTATCAACGAAAACCGCTAGATAGCCACCAAAACGAGCATGAAAAGCTCAACCAAAGACTGAGAGAATTGGAGTCTGAAAGTCGAGAGCTGGAAAAGCTACGCAAGTCGTCAGCGTTTCAACGCAACTTTGTCTATCCACTGGCAATGCTATCGTTATTGTTCTTTACGGGAATAACAGTGCTGTTGGTGGTGCAAAATACACTGGAGTTGTTAATTGGAATCAAAGCATTACCTCTTAGCAAAAGAGTAAGTTGTTTTTGTTTTGCTTAGCTCGTCATCAGTTCAAATATAATCGTTTTTTTTTTGTTTAGTTGCAGCAATTCACACTTGGCATCACGTCGCTGTCCAAGCTCGGTCCGTTTGGCGCTGGCTTAGAAGTGTGTCTAATATTTTATTTGGGTGCCACTTCGGTCGTTGGGTTCTACACGATGCCTTTTATGCGTCATGTGCGCCCACAAAAACGAAAAACTTCACTCGCCCAATTGATACTCAACTGTGCGTTGGTTTTAATTTTGAGTTCAGCTCTGCCGCTGCTCAGCAGAATTATTGGTGAGTTATAATCTAGACACGAGGCGGCATTGACTCAGATTAAAGGTGCTATGCACACTTGCTGCAAATTGTTCTCTTGCATTTTAGAACGCAATTGCTGCGACGCCGTACTGTTAAGCGACATTGGTGTATATCAAGTCTAATCCTAAATCTGTAATTGCACCTTTAATCCGGAGTATGGTTGTTGTCTGAATTAACTTTTAAATGCCTTTATTATTGCCTTTCAATTTTTTTTTTTGTGTAACTCAATTATTGAACATTTTCGTTGCAGGTATTACGAACTTTGATCTGTTGGGTGACTTTGGTGCCATAGAATGGCTCGGCAACTTTCAGATTGTTTTACTTTACAATTTGATCTTTGGCACCACGACGGCGCTTTGTTTGGTTAATAAATTTACAGCAGCTGTGCGTCAAGAGTTGTGTGCGCGGTTAGTAGAGAACTACGTGCTCTTCACCAATTACATGTCATTCATCAATTGATATTTATGTCATCGGCGCAATCAAACCTTTTCTAGTGACCGTACCACCCAAATGTCGATGAGTAAGCAACGCTTACTTTTGCATGGCATTATTACGGGTTTGGGCAGTGGTTTTGTTGCGTCGCAAATAACTAAGCTGGTAGGTTACTATTATGATAGCAATGCAGTTGAAGCAAATACTAACGGTGATGTAGAGAGTTGAAGTGTGTTAGAGCAAAGCTTGGAGGAAATATAAAAATTACCAATCCACGAATGCCATTGCGACATTAAATTTCGGCGCATTTCACTATAATTACGTATACTTTACACAGGTGTATAAATTTTTAAATGAAATTTGCCATATAAACCCGTTACACTGGTTAATCTTTTCGGCACTAAGTATTTATTTATCAGAAGGATTCTCCCAAATTCTCTTAAACGATTTTATGTTTAGTCAAAAAAAAAAACGTTTTATCAAAAATTTAACTTATTGTATTTCGAATTTCGTTAGTTTTAATTTCTTTGGAATTAGTTAATTAAAATGTTTTAAAACTTTTTTGTATGTCTGTAATGTAACCAAGTCTTTAAATAAATAAGTAGGTACACTTAGTAAATACATACAGATGCGTGCAACTAATTAGCAACGAAATTCAAAACGATATTGCTTGCAAATTATGTTTATTTATTTATTTTTAATAATTTTCATTTAAAATATAATTCAATCTATATCAGAAACCACAATAACAAAAGTTGCAAAGCTTGCACAAATTGCAAAAAAATTAATCAAACTTCAAAAAATTGTCATCAAAATTTCAAAATCTTTAATTAGACTATTTAGAAAATTTTCGGGTATGCAGTTTTGTAGCCCATTCAATTTTAATATAATAAAGTGCAAGTTTCAAGTCGCTAAACATTACCGTTGATTTTTTAGAATTTTTTTTTGTGGAGGGTGTTGCGCATTTTCTTCCATATAACACATGATCAAACTTTTCTTTTACATGGAAAAAAATCCGCAACACCCTCGACAAAAAAATGAAAATTTTTAAAAATAAATAAATAAACATAATTTGCAAGCAATATCGTTTTGAATTTCGTTGCTAATTAGTTGCACGCATCTGTACCTACATACATATGGCTGAGCTTTCCAATAATACGTATTTAGAAAAAAACCTTTCGGTAATTCGAAATCCTTTCATAGTTTGGCAGTTTATTCCATTTATAGAAATTAAACTTGTAAAACCGTTGTTTTATTTTAATTCGAAACTTGAAACTCATTTAACAAAAGCAAAAAAAATGTCAGTCTAATTATTCGTAAAGGCGAAACGAGCTAGTCAGAGCACTTCCTTTAAACATTTTAAAACTTTCATTTACTAACAAGTAACAACTGCATGCTCGGTCTTTGTATCGAAATATGTATCTACATGCGTTGCCATTAATCATCCAATGAACGCTAGAATAAGGTTAATTTATATTTATAGTATCGGCTACTATTATTACGTACCAATTTTATAACATACGCACGCATATATGTACGTACATATTTTGTATATCTCAGGGACCGTAACGATTATATATGTAAACCTTTTGTGTGTGTTTTTTTTTTTTAACAAAATTTAAACTCAGAAAGTAACTTTTGAAGTTGATATTTTCCCGAGTCACAAAGATAAGCTATTTCAGTACGATTTTTTACTAGAAATTTGAGAAATAATCGTTATTTACGGTCTATGGTATCTCTAGTTGGGGCATAGTGCCATTAAAAATTGATTCCAAATTAGTGAATTTCCACGAACACACATATTAAAAATGGCCAACACGATTTTATTATATATGTACATTTGTATATTAAGATCATTCAGCGTTATTCTGATATAAATGATTTGCTCATGTAATTTTATGTGATATGAAAATACACTATTGTAATGTGTTAAATAAAAACTGCATGTTGAAAAGTAATCAAACTAAAGTGTATTAATTTTTCACCAACTTTAAAAGCACTTATATTCATCCATTCGCACTTGACAACTGATCGTCCACGCATAGTTAATCCTATAATTCAAATATCAAAAGCTTATCGTTCCAAATTTCAATTAAACTTTAGTGACCTAAATAAAGAACTTGCAATTTAATTTTATTTACAGGCTGACTTCGATGTTCCTGTATGCATAGAAGTTTCTTCGTTTGGATGTCGCGTTATTTTGTTTTCTGGAAATTATAATTTCTTTAATCGATATACTGTGATTGTAATGCTAATGCATAGATAGAAAATAGTTAAAATATTAATCTTAAATAAATGCAATATAAGCAAAGTCTATGTTTCATTGTTTATTGCGCAAATGAATGGATTTTATTCGTTTTAAACTGAAAGAACGAAGTAACAAAACATTAAAACAGTGCTTGTTTGGTCATATGTAGTGCTAATGAGTGTACATATGTACGTATTTGAATTTGTACTCGTGGGTGTCTATAGCCGTATTTTCTTTATCGGAACCATAACAACAACGTTTACTTATACTCAACAAAGCTATGCTATTTAGTATAACTGCATAAAAAAATTTGAAATAACAAAAAGCTGGAACCCTTGGTTTAAACTTGGCATGGATTTTTTTCTGTTTCTTCATTTTCTTCGTACGTTGCGAGAGTGCCCATCAACGTTTTCTAATGCCCGCCTAAGCCTCTATCGTCACATCCTTCGCTCGCGTTTACAACTTCGTCAAAATCACGCATATCCAACTCATGGAGGGCTTGTTGCACCATAGCAGCTAGCTCTGGGGGCAAGTCTTTCAAATCATTATGTCGCTCCCTCGCGATTGCGCTGGTTATGCGCGGGTTGCTCGTACTGACGTTCACTCTTCTGCTGGAATTGCCACCCGAGTCCGTGGTAGTCGACGGTGACGTTTCGTATGCATGCATGGCAGCATTTGTGAATTCGCTGAGGCTGAATGTGCCTATAGCCCCTGCAAAGCCACCGTATTCTGAAGACATTATGCTGCGCCCAGATTCTGTCGATAATGAATCGACAGAGTCGTCTGAAATACCGACTCGCGAAGTTTTATTTGAGTCTTCTCGTTCCGTTGTCACAGTTTCTGAATCGTTAATTTTAAGGACAACCGAACATTTCGTGTTGGTTGTGGTGGTTGTTGTCGCCTCCGTTTCGATGACGTTACTGGAATCAACAGATGAAGCACTGTAACCCTGAAGTAAGAATTGAGAGGGTGAATACTCGCTATTGCAAGAGGATGCAGTTCCACTCATGTCACCAATGCCGGCTAGGCATTGTATGCGTTGGTCCAGCTCTGCAATTTTAGCTGCGAGAATTCTGCAACAAAAATGTATACATGTATATTATACAAACATCCTACACATGATAATGGTGGCAGAAGAAATAAAAGGATAGGATTAGAGTGAACATGAATATTAACTATAAACACCGCCTAAACAATATGTTCACATCGTTTCTATAACAAAAACTTACTTGTTAGTTTTCTTTTGATGATTAAGAGCGATATGCTTGTCGTTTAAATTATCTAGCAGCGCCAAACAGAGTGATTTCAAGTCTTGAATAGTCTCTGTTTTTGTAGGTAAGTCCACGCCACTATCAAGCATTGTTTTGACTGCAATTATACATTAACATTAATATTATTTAAAGTTTTTATTGTTAAAATATTTTGCAGTGACCGGAAGAATACATATCGCTAATTTACTGAAATGTTGTCATAAATAAAAAAAAAAGAATTTTTCAGCAGGCACGCTTAAAGCTTTTTAAGGTTTATATTGCTAAATGCATCGCTATTGCCTTTTACGTGGAAACTACAAAATATTTTACGCAAAATTGTTAGAAATTTGCCAAACAAATTTCTTCATTTGGGTTATAAAAGTATGAATGAGGGATATTTAACACAAGTTTAATATAAGGTCCTGGTACATAATATGTACTATATGTAAGTAAAAAAATTGTATAAACGAAAAAGGTATCTAAAAGAGTGAAACACAACATCAATGGTGTATTATGCACCTCTTTACCTTGTTTATGGGACAAAATACTTTCATCATTTGCATGGGAACCTAGTTTAATAATACCCTTTTTACGCTTCGTTTCCAACATAGTCTTTGAAGCATGAAATAAGTTAAATTAAGTTACATATTAGTTTATACAATCTACTAAGACCAAATAAAGCAGACCAAACCAGCGTTTTTTATGTTAGTATTTTATACCTTGTATTTGTTAAGAGATTGCTTTGTTATATCCAATTCGCACTCAACATTTTTTAACCGTTCGTGTAGGTACTTATTTTCTAACAATACACCATCAATATCGATTAGCTATAAAAATTAGAAAAGGTATTATTGCGTGATATAGCTTTAATGTAAATTTCACAACAAAACATATTCTTCCAGTGTCATAATCCAAAAACCAAAAACTGCAGAAAAACGGCTTTAAGGTTTTGAAATTACATACATACATGTATATATGCACGCTCATAGTAGAAATCAATACATATTTTGTTCTAATGAGGTCCTGGTAATCGGTACATCTATGGAATTTTTACACAACATAGAACAACCAGTAGCGGTCATCTCTGTATACCTAACTCAATTTTTTTTTTTGGATTATGATAGAAAATGTGCGATATGTACCTTAGGATGTGATTCGTTGGCTTTTAGTGCATTTAGCAGCTCATGATTCAGCCTATGCGCCTTGCATTTGTAAGCATCACGTTCTGATATAATATCCTCTTTTTCGTCTATTAAAGTTTTTAGATCAAAGGCAAGCTGTACATTCTAACAAGAGGAACCTATCTGGATAAACTTTTTTTACTTGTATTTGGTAATGCACTATTTACCTTCTTTTTCAGGTTCTCCAAATGACAAATAAAATTCGAACGCTCCCCCTTCCATTGCACAGCTTCCGAATTGCTTGATTCAGCAATCAATTCATTTTGCAATCTTTCCGATTTTCCTTCCTTTGTAGCAGACCTTAGGAGTTCGATATCGCCCTGCAGCTCGTTTAACTTTTGCTTCAGAGATTCTACTTCCGTGGTGAGCTTTATATTTCTCTCTCGCGTTTCGTGCAGTATTGATGCTACACTAGTTTTATTGCCCTCCATTCCAAGACAACTGCTGTATTCATTGTTACGTGTTATAGCTGAATAACGTAGTTGCAAGGTCTCCGCCATTAATTTGAATTGATCACGCTCGGTTCGAAATTGTTCCAGCTCCTTGCGTAAAATACGTACTGCTTCCACTTTACTCACCAATTTCCTATGTAAAGCGGAAGTCTGCAAATAAACTTAATTATCAAGTCTTAACTACTGTTCACTGATTTGTGTATAAATTCGAAAAAAGGACAAAATATCAAATTATCCATAAAGAAAGCGAATACCGATGACACAACCGCCGCTTTTCCCCCCAAGAGCCCTAAACAATCAATTGATGAACTCACATTGAATTCTCCCATATGTTCGCGATAAAGCTCAAAGTCAACCGAATCCACATGGTTTTGCGATTGGAATTCATCGTTGGAAATCATTTTCTTGTCTCTAGCACTATTTATGAGATTTCGGGTAAAATTTTATAAACCGAACTAAAATCATTTACAAAAACGAAAACTTCGGTGAAAGTAGTGCCGGAAGATACATCGATGTAATATCGATACATCGATGTTTTTGAATTTATTTCAAACATCGATGTTTTTTTCGATGTTCGATGTTTTTCACTATAACCATCGCATAGGTAAGTGAAAATCTACGAGCACAATTTGAATAGATAAATATAGCTTATTAAATAAAAATTATTAATTCTTTAGGTTATTGGTGTTGGCACAACTTGAAATCTTTAAGTCGCAGGCTTCTTTGTGGGACTGTTTATGTGTGTGTTTTCAACGAAAATCTTTCATCTTATGTGTATGTATGTATATAAATGTGTTATCGAAGGTAATTTCCAATAATTCGAATTCTGTTTTACTGAAATCTTAATATGAATTATTAAGAAATTGACAAATTGAAATTTACAAGACTTGTAATAAATTTTCAGCAATATATGTAAATGGCTGTGTTTATAAACACAATAATGCAAAATATCACTCTCTTTTAAATCAAAGTCCAAATTGAACAAATTTATCTTGTAGGGTTGTGAAATTAAAGATACTGATGGTTGGCATATCGGCGTTAATGAATTCAGCCAACATTTAAAAACTTCGCCATTTAAAAAGGGCGATGCATCGATACATCGATGTTGCTCCCCAAAAACATCCAGCACTAGCGGAAATATGAAACGATACGAGTAAATACAAGTACATAATCGATAGGTCTCGTTCGATACCAAGTAATTTTGGTATCGATACTTTTAATCCAAGAACTGAGTAGGGTAGATCCCTGCAAAAATCGCGACTACTCCATGCATGCGTGTAAAGAGTATCACCTAAGGACCAAGGAGTACTCCAAAATTAACCACAATTCATATAAAAAATATGACCCCATTAACATTGTGATGTCCTAGGGCAGGACCATATACTCCATCCCTGCATTACATCAGAGTAGCACAAAACTACTCCAAAATATTAACAATAGCATTGTTGTTATATTTTTTCGTCTGTACATGCTTTTGTTCTTCACTTCACCGATGCTTTTTCGCAATTAATAAAAACCAAAAACAAAAATTAAAAATGACATGTTGCCTCTGACGGCATTCGAACCCGAACATGCTGGGAGCTAACAACTAACAGCGAGCACCCCTACACGTTCAGCTACAGACAGACACGAAAATGTGCTTTCAAATTCTCAACTTAAATTACATTTCGTTAAAACACGAGCGGTGATCGGGTGACAAACAATAAGCTGGCGCGGACACACCAGTTGGTTCGCTACAGCATGACAGGGGAACACTTTTGTAAGTACTCCAATAAACTACAAATAGACTATATGGTCCAACGATTTTTGCAGGGATATAGCTATTGGTTCCGTACAAGGCGTATTTAACAGGTGATAGCAGCACCCTTTTATTTTTCTTCGCCTCACGGCTTCATATGTCAAATGGCTGCTGGTGATTGGTTGGAGCAATTGATCCTTTATTGTTTTCTGTTCTCTTTCACATCCTTCGTACGAAAGTTTTTGACAGTCCTCGCCACAAAAGCAAAAACAAAACACATGTACATTTTGTTATTGTCGTACCGATAGCACCTTATTGAATACGTCTTGGTTCCGTAATGGAAATCTCAGCCAAAACTATCAGCTTTTTGCGTTCGCGTACGCAAAAAACTTGCAAAGTAGGGGAAATTGAGAGAGCAAGGTTACATTT